GAATCTAGAAATTGCTTCGGGTAGTATGGGCATTTTGATTATTTTAATTCTTACAATCCTTGAACACAGTATATGTTTCCATTTATTTGTGTCGTCATTAATTTCTTCAATGTTTTTTAGTTTTCTGAGTATAAGTCTTTTACTTCTTGCTTAGGATTTTTTCTAGGTACTTTATTTTTCTTGTTGATATAGCAAATGGGGACATCAAACTATATTACAAGGCCATGGTAATCAGAAGAGTCTGGTACTGGCATAAGAATAAATATGTAGATCAATGTAGATCAATATGTAGAACAGAATAGAGAACCAGAAAAAGCCCAAGTCTCTATTTTCAATTAGTATTTGACAAAGGGAGAAGAAGCAAAAAATGGACTAAAAGTAGCATCTTCAACAAATGGTGTTGGGAGAGCTAGACAGCTACATGCAAAAACAAAACTTGACCACCAACTTACACCACACACAAAAATAAACTCAAGATGGATAAAAGACTTAAGTATAAGTCATGCCATAAAAGTCCTAGAGGAGAATATAGGCAGGAAAATCTCAGATATTCCACACAGCAATAGTTTCATCAATATGTTCCCTAGAGCAAAGGACATAAAGGAAGGAATAAACAAAAAGGACTTCATTAAAATAAAAAAAAAACTTCTGCACAGCTAAAGAAAACATGAGAAAAATTAAAATAGAACCAACCATATGGGAAAATATAGTTGCAAATGATACCTCAGACAAGGGTTTAATGTCCAAAATATATAAATTACTCATACAACTCCATTCCAGGAATACAAAAAATCCAGTTAAATAATGGGCAAAGGACTGAACAGACACTTCTCCAAGGAAGACGTACAGAGGGCCCAAAGTCATATGAAGGTATGCTCAGCATCACTAGCCATCAGAGAGATGTAAATTAAAACCACAATGAGACATCACTTCATGCCAGTCAGAATGGCCATCATAAACAAATCAACAAATAAGTGCTGGAGAGGTTATGGAGAAAAGAGGACCCTAGTACATTTTTGTTAGGAATGAAGACCAGTACAGCCACTATGGAAAACAGTATGAAATTTCCTCAAAAAATTAAAAATGGAACTGCTTTGACCTGGCAATTGCATTGCTGGGATTATATCCTAAGAATCCTGAAAGTCTAATTCAAAAGAACCAACACACCCCAAAGTTCATAGCAGCACAATTTACAATAGCCAAGTGCTAGAAGCAACTTAGGTGTCCATCAGGAAATGAATTGACCAAAAGCCTATGGTTTTAGTTTTCTGTATAAAACTACATTTACACAATGGAATACTACACAGCATAAAGAGACAAGGAGCTCCTACTCTTTGTGATAGCATGGATGTAACTGGAGAGCATTGTGCTAAGTAAAATAAGTCAGATTGTGAAAGACAAATACCATATGATTCTGACCTATAAGAGTAACCTAATCAACAAAACAAACTAGTAAGCAAAACATAATCAGATAATGAAATAAAGAAAAAACTGACAGTAACCAGAGGGGAGGGAGGAGGGGAATAACGGGTGAAAGAAGTGGAATTGTCATCAGGGATCATGTATAAAGGACACTTAGACAATGCCGAAGGGGGCAGGATTGAAGGCCGGGATGAGATTGGTTGGAGTGAAGGACAGTTGTGGGGGGCAAATGGAGATAACTGTGCTTGAACAACAATTAAAAAAGTTAAAAAAAGACCTACAGCAAGGGACATAAAGGAAAGAATAAACAAATGGGATCTCATCAAAATAAAAAACTTCTGCATGGCTAAAGAAAACAGTATTAAAATAAAGAGACAACCAACTATATGGGAAAACATAATTGCCAATGATACATTAGACAAGGGTTTAATCTCCAAAATATACAAAGAACTTACACGACTCCACTCTAAGAAGACAAATAACTGAATTAAAAAATGGGAAAAGAACTTGAATAGACACTTCTCCAAGGAGGACATACAGAGGATCCAGGGACACATGAAAAGATGCTCAATATCGTTAGCTATCAGAGAGATGCAAATCAAAACCACAATGAGATACCACTTTACACCAGTCAGAATGGCTATCATAAACAAAGCAACAAGCAACAAATGTTGGAGAGGTTGTGGGGAAAAGAGGTCCCCAGTTCACTGTTGATGGTAATGCAGACTGGTACAACCATTATGGAAAACAGTATGGAATTTTCTAAGAAAACTAAAAATGAACCTGCCTTATGACTCAGTAATTCCACTGTTGGGATTATATCCTAAGAACCCTAAAACACCAATCCAAAAGAACCTATGCACCACAATGTTCATAGCAGCATAATTTACAATAGCCAAGAGTTGGAAGCAACCATCAGTAAATGAATGGATCAAAAAATTATGGTACATATACACAATGGAATTCTATGCAGCAGAAAGAAAGAAGGAGCTCATACCCTTTGCAACAGCTTGGATGGAACTGGAAAGCATTATGCTGAGTGAAATAAGCCAGGCGGTGAAAGACAAATGCCATATGATCTCACCTTTAACAGGAAGCTAAACAATAAAACAAACAAGCAAGAAAAATAAAAACAATGACACTGAAATAGAGAACAGGGGGACAGTGACAAGAGGGGAGAAGGGAGGGAAGTTCAGGGGGAAAGGGGAAGGATTTACAGGAACTAGTATAAAGGACACATGGACAACAACTAAGGGGGGTGGGAATAGGAGGGATGTGGGGGGCAGGGGGGTGGGCTGGGCTGGGAGTAAAAGACAGAATACTGTAGTTGAAAAATAATTAAATTTTAAAAAAAGAAAAAAGAAAAGAAAAAGGTAAATGTCTTATAACCCAGAGATTCTACTTCTGGGTATATGTCCAAAGAAACCCAAAACACTAATTTAAAAAATGTGCTCCCCTATGTTTATTGCAGCATTATTTACAAATAGCCAACATTTGGATTAACCCCAGTGCCCATCAAAAATGGATGGATAAAAAATTGGTAGTACATATATATATAATGGAATATTACTCAGCCATAAAAGATAATGAAATCTTACCATTTCAAACAGCATGGGTGGACCTAGAGGATATTATGCTAAGTGAAATAAGTAAGAGAACATCAAATAACACATAATCTCACTTATATGTGGGATCCAAAGAATCATATAACAAGCAGAACAGAAACAGTTTCACAGATACAGAGTAGAAATTGATGGTTGCCAGAGGGGTGGGTGATATGGGAACTTGGTGAAAAGAATGAAAGGATTATGAAGTCCAGTTAGTTACAGAGTAGTCACAGGGATATAAAGTACAGCATAAGAAGCATAGTTTGTATGTGTGGTGCCAGGTGGGTACTAAGTATATTAAGGAAACACTCTGCAAAGTATATTATTGTCTAATGAGTATGCTGTATACCTGGAACTAATACAAAATGATATTTAAAAAATCAAACATCAAAATAACCCACCTAAAATTAGAACATACAATAACAAATTTTAAATGTTCTAATTAAATGTTCTTAAAATATTAGTATCAAACATGTTGAATGATGATCAAGCAAAACTTAGAAAAAAAATTTATAGTCCTCTGTGTTTATATTAGGAAGGAAAAATCAAACACTAACACAATAATAGAAATGATTGGAGACATATAAAATTTGGCTTCTTTAGAAGACAGGTATAAGATTTACAAATATTCACCAAAGTTGGTCATGGAAAATAGAGAAAATGCTTATAAATAATATTAGGACAAAATGAAAATATAAAAAATGCAAATATTAAAAGAGCACCTAAAACCTTACATAATACCTAAAAATAGTTTTTAATTTGAAAATTTAGGTGAAACTGGCTTTTAGAATTGTATAAGTTACCAAAATTAATTTTTTAAATGTAAAACTTAACTTTGAAACCATAATAAAATAAGGTTTTAAAAATCCTTTTTAGTGAGAAGGGGAAGAATTGTCAAGGAATATGTTTAAAGGACCCATGAACAAAGCAAAAGAGGGGTGTATGAGTGAGGGTGGGTGGGGCATGGGAGAGTGGGGGTGGAGACAACTGTACTTAAACAAAAATAAAATATAAAAATAAATAATATTTTTTAAAACAGCATTTATTTTTAAAAGTTAATGTGCATATAATAGGAAAGTGAAAGTCACAAGAAGCAAAGAAAAAAGTCATCCATAACCACAAGCAGGGTTCAGTTTAATAAACAACATGTACCTGGACATATTCATAGTGTATCCAGTGCCAGATTATAATCAAATAGACAGTATAAAACTTGGAGTGAAAGAAACAACGCTGTCACTATTAACACAATAAAGTCTGAAAAAGACAGGTGTTGGTAAGGATAGAGAAAAAAGGAACCTCTCACATTGTTGACTGTAGACAAATGAACCCTCACATAACAGAATTCAGTTTGCACTGAATAAGTACATCTGAGTAAGAGCCTGCCATATAAGCAAGCACCACTTCCAGAGCAGTATTTGCTTGAAGTCTTTATATGGACACTTTGAGACATGTGCACAAATACAGTGTTGCTCAAACTGCTTAATACATCAATAATTCTTTTTTTGAGCTTGTGATAATTTAAAAATATTATTTAAAAATTCTCTCTTAAAAGAACATTGTCAAATGTAGACTTCTGTCTGGAATTTTTACCCTGAACAATGCTTAAGAAAAAATAAAATTGGCAACGTTACATAATGTAAGTGCCACAAAACTAGACCTTAATATTCTTGGCTCTCTTTTAGGTATTATTATTAACTAGCAGTATAAACTTGTAAAGCTATAATAACAAATTAATAACTATCATGATCAACTAATAATCATGCATTAATGTATAAAATCTTTTTAATTAAATGAGGAAGTAATAATAGTGTTATTTGATATGTTCTTAAATTAAAACACTAGGTAAAAAATATAAAAAGGGAAAGAAAGCATCATGTATAACGACAATCTTTACGAGGCAGTGGTTTGTGGAAACATTCTCCCCGGGGCCCAGGCTGACAGTACTTGATGCATTCCAATGCCTGTGCTTACCAGCTGCTGTCCCTGGACCCCCCAGGCTGCATACTGCAAGACAGAGTCCTCTACTTCTGGAGGGTTTAACTCCCAAACTTCCCTTGAAAAAAGGTAAACATTTTACATGAAAAAAATTGACATCTACAACAACAATTTAGTTGGACAATTTCTCATGAAAACCAGAAAATCAAAGATCTTACCTAGTGTGTATGTTGTAAATCACATATGAAGCAGTATAGGAATAATGAAAAATCTGAAATAATAAAAAAGAGTTATTGACCATTGAAAATAAAGGCTCTATCTTAATATGTATATGTTCTTATTAAATTCCAGCAAATCCAATAATTGGTCTTAAAGAGAAATAAAAATGTGAAATACCCCAGTTTTTTAGTTTATTACCTTCTCTGGGCCTTCCTGCAATAATAGCCTTCTATTTTTTTTCCAGCCAGCAGTCATGTCTCTTTACTGAATCTACTCTGCACTTAGCATAACTGTGATTATAACTCCATCTTGTTTAAGATATTTAGTGATTCCTCATTACCCTTAAAATAAAGTTCACACTGCTTAGTCAATGCTCAAGGATTGTGGTATTTGTAGTCTACCTCTTTCTCCATCTTTATCATCCAGGACTTTACCTAGTGTATTCCTCAATCACATTAGACAAATTTTCTTTGTATATCTTTAGTCCTCTCCCCTTTTTAAAGGTCTTCCCACCCTAATTTGGGTGGAAATTTTTCCTCCTTCTATTTCATCTCTCTCACAGTTTACTCTGACTCTCAGAACATCATCACCCTGCAACATAAAGTGAATAACTATTGCAATTATATGTCTCCTTTTCCTACTATAATGTTGTCAGGTGCATTTGTGTGTTACCTTTGCATCCTGCACATTACCTAATACAGTGTCATGTTTGCATGCAACATGCAGTAGATATTTGATGAGCGATGATTCTGATGGACAAAAACTCACATAGCCTAAAGTGTTTTTGGTTGAAACAAAATGGGATAAACTGCTCCCCAAGCCCTTCATAGCCAGAGTTAAAAATTATACTTCAAATGGTTGTTTACAAGTACTTGATCTTCAAGAGATTTTAGTACCATCCATAAAGAACTCTGTTTCTTGTTAAAGCCCATCTTGCCCAGGATCGGGTGAGGCCCCATGATGGGTGACATTAAATACCGAAGGCAGGACCATAGTGAATAATGCAAAGCTATCTTTACATTTTGGTTCTTAGTAATTTGAGATGAAATAGTGGCATAGAGTAAATGAGTCTGTTATTGAAAAATTGCCACAGATTGGTTAATGGAAGAGATGATAAATATGTTACATTTCAGTGAAAATTATTTTTCTCTAAGCTATGTGGTCGAGTGAAGAACATTTCTATCTAGCCATATTAACTTGTATTATTATTTTTAGAATTTACAGAATGTATACTTCTATTTTCAGCATGCAATTATAAAAAAGCTTATTTTATTCCTGTAGTGGATGTACATTGCACAAATATAATGCTGCCAATTAAACTCCCTAGAAGTCAAATTGTTATTTCTTCCCAGTGCAGTAACAGCTTCGATTAAACATGGTTGGCCACATATCCGGTGAAGCACTAGTGTTTTCTCTACAGCGCAATAACAATCCTCCTCCTATTTGTTATAATATTGTATTTTACAGGGAAGTTTTATTCCTTTTGAAATAACTGTTAAATTTGAGATTGCCTTCACTATAGAGTTGTACAAATAAAAATAATTTTTCCTGGTGTCTATTCAGATGTTCACATTGTGTTCTATACAATTCCATATTGAATACAAATTAAACCTTGAATTTCCTACTATAGCTGAGAGAGGTGAGAAATGTGACCACCTCTATAAACTCTTTTTATCTCAGGAAATCCTGTTACTAAAGCAAACTGCTAGGTGAACACTTGCTATTCAAAGCTGACAAATGTGTAAATGAAATTATGGGTAAAAGGAGACTATTCATTCCATCTTTTAATTACCTAAGACACTGTACCTGAATTCTAAGGCTCACATCCACCTAGAGAGAAAAAATGTTACTGTGCCTTACTTTTAGTCAAGCAGACCAAAACAACCAGTGAGACCAAACTGGATACAGCCATTAACTTTTGTGTCTTTCTATGTTACACAGCCTCTTCTCAACATATGAATCTCAACAAAGGACTTAGTTGTCCTCTAGATGATGTGATTTGGAGAAGGGGGATATATAAATCTACTTTGTTTTGTTATTCTTAGCCTGATACAGTATTTGCTTCTCTCAGCTGGTGTGCTGAGGTAGAAGACCAGAATAAAGTGGCTTGTTTGCAAACCTATAGCAGATTTAAGTAACAAGTTTCACAGTTTCGGCCTCATCTGTAGGTGTCATACAAAGCCAGCAGTTTCCCATCTGCAAATAATTAGAACCTAGCCCTTTAATTCTAGCTTAGAGTTGTTTCCTCTCAGTTCACTGTCTGGTGTGTGTGAGTGTGCATGCAGGTTTCAAACAGTTCTTGTTTTGTAACTTTCCATAATTAAATGGAAACATTCTATGCATACAACATTCTATGCATACAATAGAACATAACAAATATGGGGTAGGAGGAATCTTGAACAGGGTTAGAGATAGAGGTTTCTTTTTGTTTGTTTGCTTGGTGTTGCACTCATTTTAAAAGGGGAGTTTTCAGTGAGAACTGAATTTAGCTTTAGTAAACATTGGTATTAGGACACACTGGTCTAAATGTTAATTTGCATTTATCTCTCTCTCTCTCTCTCTCTATTCTTCTCCTCCTTATTCTCCTTTTTCTTCTTTGGATAGCATTTCTCTATTTTTTTCACATTTCTCATTCCCTCTTATCCTGGGTGTTTCTATGAGATGGGCTAAGTAAACCTTGTTTCGTGATGAGAGGATAACATTGGAGTCGCTCACGTCAGAGACAGTCTTTTTCCTCTAAGTTTGGTTGCTGTATAATGGGAGGCCAACTGTGCCTCTGATGACATTTTCGAGGACATAGGCATTTCACAATCACAATATGTTCATCCCATCTTTGCAAATGATATTTCACTGCTTGTTACAGAGTGTGAATAGTTATGGCAAAGATAATGGGAATGGGGCAAAACTCAGATATACTATGTAAAATCTTGATCAAAGCTTACTCGTGAAATGCCCAATCATTCAATTTTGCAATGTCAAAGTCATTCATTGGGAGATACAGAAAGTCTCATTAGAGAAAGTATCATAAGATCCTGCAATGCAATTTGATCCCCATCTTCTCTACATTATTTGAGAATCCCCCAAAAAAGGTTGATTGACAAATAATAATTACTAAGAATGATATAATCAGTTCTCATTATTTGCTGTAGTTATGTTTTATAAGACATTGTAAACACTGAACAAGCAAATACTGAACCATCACTTTAGACAAATACAGGGTTAGGTTGCTGTGAGCCTCTGGTTATAACAGTTTCATCAACCAATCGACACATAACCTTGTTTCATGTATGTTTCTTTATGAAGTCACTATATCTAATATTTAATATTGTTAATTCATTAACATGGAACTCGTGGCCAGCAAAGCATTCTAACTCCTGCCTCAGCAAAGCTTATCTTGCACAAGTACTTTCTCTGTAGAGCACAATAGAGCCTTCTTGCACCTAGGGACACTAAACAACACCTCCACACTTGTTCAAGGGGTATTTTAAATAGCAAAACCACCAAGAAAAAGCATCAACATGTGGAAAACAGAGTACAAACAAGACCATGAAAACCACACTGTTTTACAGTACAAAAGCTGAAGTAAGAAGGCTCAGTGTTGCCCTGTGTGACCTGAGCTAGGAAGTGTGCACCGTGCAGCTATGATGTTCTGCTGCTCTGGATATGGATGATGAGAGTACAGTGAGTATTGATTTTGAGGTTACAAATACATTTTAGAAATTATGCAAATTTGCAAATCCAGAATCCCCAAATAATGAAGTTTGACTATATCACTACAAAGACATAGCCTTAGATGTTATTGGAAGAAAGAAAAAAGAGGCCTATTTAAGGCCTGCCAGAACTTGAATAAGAAAAGTATAGATGTTATCCAGAGTGGTGGAATTCATGCTGTCTAATAAAAAGTAGCTGCATTCATTTATCAGCTCTTTATTAAGCAACCTTTTTGATACTAGCACTGCATTGGCAGTATTAAAAAAAGATTGTGATAAAAAAGTTATCTTCAAAATAGAATAAAATAAAAAGGAGTATCAGTTGATAACTTTTGTTTTTTCTTATATGTAGTCTGTCAGTTTATAAACACTTATGGAATACTAATCATGTGCAAACTCATACATTAAGTATGTTACCAAATAAAAAGACTATAATACATTTGCTTTCTGTCCCCAAGGAACTCTTGATGCAGTGGGAGTGACAAGGTTAAGAAGCATTGTTGTAGCCATAAGATGCTGTTACTGGTCATAGTTGAAGTAGGACTTGCACAGTATAAACCTATAGGCTTTCCAAGAAGCAATTATTCTGTTCAGCTTCAAGACTGCATCATAAAGAATATAGCAGTTACTTATGCATTGAAGGGGCATACATATCTGAGAGAGATACAGCTAGTGTACCAAATTGAAGTTAACTCTATAAAGTAATCCTATAAATGCTGATTCCTAAAATCAGCATTTACTATATACTGAACTTTTCTGAGTGCTTTACATATGTCATTTAGTGTTTAAAGTGACTTTAAGAAGTAGATATGGTAATTCATAAATAACATGATTGGCTCTGGAAGCACAGAAAGTTTAAGTAGGACACTGAGCCACAACTGAGCTCGTGTCCATTTGATTACAACTCAGTGTGACCTTCTTTCTGCCTACTCTTTCAGGAAGCTCAGATAGGGAGCATGACTACAGCTTTGCAAAAGATTCATTTTTGAAAGACCTATTAAGCCACCACCCAAAGATTTATTGACAGGAGTAGGCATGAATTAATCGTGATTACCACAGTTGAGAGAGATTTCATTTTGGAAAAATGATCTAATATAGCAGATTAAAAATGTAAATCTTCTTCTCCTTTAGCTGTTTTTCACATTTTTTCTTGGAATATCAGTTGTTACCTAAGACATCTGTGGGGATTCATGTCAAGAAGAATTACACTTCAAGGAAAGAGAATAGGGTACTTTAGTAATTTATGCTTAAACCAGATGTTTATATCTCTGAGTGCCAAATTGTTTTCTGCACTGCAGTTCAACTGCCATATTGGTATAAATAGCATGTATTTTCATAGCCT